GGAGCGGCCATCTTGCTAGGACCCACATCCCACTGCTGGAGCCATGGGGAAGGCCCCAGGAGGGGGGAGCCTTCACAAATGGCGACTTCTCGGTTTTTCTTGGATTGAGCCCCCGTGGGGCATGGGCCTTGCAGGAGTTGGTCCCCCAGCCCACGACAAATATACAGCCACCGCGGACACATTGACTGAATGTGGGGCTCAGTTTTTCCTTGGTCTCTTCTTCCAGGTTAATATTGGGCAAATGGACACCCCCAAGGAGCTCTGGCGGATGATCACGGGGAACATGGCTCTGATTCAGGTAAGCTGTGTGGGAATTGGGCATAGCTGGGGGGCGTGGCAGTGATTGGGTGGAAGGAGGGTTTAAATACTGACCCGGAATGTCCAATGGAGAAGCCTCGGGCGCCGTAATTAACCCTTTCCCCTACCAGCCAATCTGGGACTGGTTTCTCTCCCTTCCCAACCTGTGTCCGGTTTAACCCCTCCCATGCATGTTTGCTAGGTTCAAGCAACAGTGGTTGGCTTCCTCGCTTCGATGGCTGCTGTGATATTTGGCTGGATCCCAGACGGGCACTTCAGCCTGGACCACGCTATCCTGCTGTGCGCCAGCAGCGTCGCCACGGCCTTCATAGCGTCGCTTGTGCTGGGTAAGACGGTACCCCTCTGGCCACGCCCGCTCAATCTGAGCCGCCGGGCCCTCAGGCTGACGCTGCTTTTTCTTCTGGGCCTAGGAATGATCATGATCGGCGTCATCATCGGCTCCAGGAGGATGGGGATCAACCCAGATAACGTGGCCACCCCCATTGCCGCCAGCTTGGGGGACCTGATCACCTTGGCGCTGCTTTCGGGGATTAGCCGGGGCCTCTACCTAGAGCTGGGTGAGACACATAAGCAATGCTGCCCTTTCTTTGCGCCTGGCCCTCTATTCTAGCTGTTCGTGGGGAATTGTATAATGTCTCATCTTGAGCCCGCCTCACTCAGGCATATTCACAGTAACAGGAGGGAGAGAAGAGAAATATCTTGAATCTTTGTAGGCCACGCAGGGACAGAGAGACTTGGGGGTGCATGGGGTGCACCTTCCCTGTCAGGCTAGGGGTGGTTTTTGTCAAGTGCCAGAAGCTAGGAAGCACGGTCAGTGTCAGGCTTGGGGGAGCCGTGGGAATCTGGACCTAAGTGAGGGTCCCTCGCAGCGCTCCCGCTACATTGTTTTTTATGTCCCATGTGCAGAATGAATTTTGTTGTGTGCACTGGTGTGGAAATGTGCGACACGGCCCCTTCAAATTGCACGTGGGCGATCCGTGGCAGGGTTTGGAATATGGGGTGGGTGGGTATTTTGGGTGCAGAAAGGGGGCTCAAGGCTGGGGCCAAGGGATTTGCAGTTGAGGAGATTGGACAGGGGTGCAGGGTCTGGGCAGGAGTTAGGGTGCAAGGGGGCTCAGGGTTGGGGTGTGGGGTCTAGAAGGGAGCTTGGTTGGTAGAGTGGGCTCAGAGCTGGGGTAGGGGATTGGGTTGTTGGGTGCTTACCTGGGGCAGCTCCTGTTTGGTGGGGGTGGGAACGGTTATCTCTGTGCCACCCCCTGCAGCTCCCATTGGCTGGGAATCGTGGCCAATGGGAGCTGCAGTGAGCAGCTCCTGGTGATGCGGCTCCAGCTGGGGGGAAAGGAACAGCAGCAAATGGAGCCTGCTGCCCTGCAGCAATGGCTGGCCCAGAACACAGGAGTACAGCCCCTAATGCCCCTTGGTAATCCCGCCCTGCTGCGAGGGCCAGAGGAGCATGCTTCTCCCCCAGCCATGGCAGCTCCTGACCCCCTGTGCCTCTCCCCCGGCTGTGAAGCTGAGAGAGCCTTGATCCCTACTAGGCAGGGGTGAAGGTAACTTAAGTTTCTTACAGGTACTGTCGTGTTGCGCCCCCGGGGGGAGGACTCAGGGCAGGGGGCTGGAGGGGGATGATATGACAGTACCTCTAGGTGTAGGAGTCCAGCTTGGGGGTACAAGGAGGGTCTCAGGGCAAGGGTGTGGGGGGTGCAGACATCAGAGCAGAGAGTGGGGGGGCTCAGAGGGGGGGGATATGGGTGGGCAGGAGTCAGGGCTGAGGCTGGGAGAGGGGGATGAGGAAGGGCAGCAGGCAGGGGGTTGCCCGGGGCGGGGGCAGAGGAAGAACACAGCAGGCTGTGCACTGTTCCTCACTCGCTACTCAGAGGAAGCAGGAAAAGCAACAGGGACCCTGCCTGTGCAATTGCAGCCCCCTGAAATGGTGGCAGGATGCACTAGAGGTCGGGACAGTCCCGGGGGGGAGGGTGCAGCTAGCTAGCCAGCCTCTCTAACTTGCCTGGCTGCCTACTGCTGAGCCGGGAGCTGGGCTAGGAGTGCCTTGCTCTGGCCGGCTTCTTACCAGAACGCCACCGTGGGGCACGCTGGATTACTTGCCCCTCTGCTAGGAGCAGAGCTGTGGCCGCCTTTTTGGTTAGGACACGTTTCCAGGGAGAGGGAGGGCGTGGCTGCTAGCTTTCAGCCACCAGGGAAAGGCTGAAGGGGGTGAGGGGCTGGAAACTGGGAAGCCGGCTTTTCTTGAAGGCACCTCCGCCACAATACAGGCTGACCCGGGGAAGGCAGCCTGGGCGATAGCGTAACCCCCAAAGGTGGGGGGCCACATCTGGCTTCCGCAGACTCTCTCTGGCTCCCAGGGGAGCTTGTCGTCCCGGATGTCAGAGGGGAACGGGGACCCGGTCTGCTGCCCAGCGCTGCTTGCGCGTTGCAATCCCATCGCGTCCTGCTGGGAGGGCTCGTGAACCCGCTGCCTCTCTTTTCAGAGGACAAACCGTACGTGAACCCTTTGGTGTGCGTCTTCTTCGTCGCCCTGCTGCCGCTCTGGTTCATCGTTGCCAAGAGGAACCCTGTGACCCGAGAGGTGCTGTACTCCGGCTGGGAGCCCGTCATCATTGCCATGGCTACTAGCAGGTAGGAAGGCACGAAACGACTGTCCAACTAGGACGGGACCCCCCCCCCCCCGGCTCCCCTGCAGGTGCCCACCCACTGTGCATAAGCATGGGAGGTGGTGGAACCCAACCCCTTCAAATTTTCAAGTTCAGATCTACAGCCAGTAATAGAGCAACTATAGCGCATCCCTCCAGCACATGTGGGCTGATTCTGCTCCTGGGGGGTGCTCCTCTGGGACGGAGAGCAGCATTTCCCCTGCTGTCGCTCCAACAGACTTTACCGTGCACCCAACGGCTATCTCCACCCTACCACAGAGCTCCCAAGGAACTGTCTGTCTGCTGTCATCTTAGTGGCTAAGGGTCCCACCTGGATCAGGGCCTTACCAGGCGGGGCACTCGACACGTCCCGCCCCCTTCTCCGGAGGGATGCGACAGCCAGCACATAGGCCGCCCTGATGGAAGGCAGGATAAGGGACGCCCTGAAGTTAAGGAGGTGGGGGCCTTACCAGGCTGGCCACTTGACAAACCCTCAGCGAGACCGTCCCTGTCCCATAGAGTGGGAGGAAAGCAGTATTGTTAGCCCTGTCCCGTAAGTGGAGACCTGAAACACAGAGGCTGCATGATGATGGGGCTCCTGCCAACTCTGTCTCGGGGCGTCGCCATGTGAGTCTGTAACTTCAAAAGCAACGAGGAGTCCTGTGGCAGCTTGGAGACGATCGGAAACGTGTCGTGTCATGAGCTTTCATGGGCAAAACCCACTTGTGCCTGCGAAAGCTCGTGATGCTATCTATATTTGTTAGTCTCTGAGGTGCCCCTGGATTGCTCACTGGTTTTAGGCTAGTCTCTCTTTTCCATCAATGTTCTGTATTATGCACCAGCTTTGAGACCCCCAGGGTCCATCTGCAACTGCTGCCATCGCATAAAAGCGGCATCTAGCTGCCTGTGTAGTGTGCACTGCAGCAGCAACCCGCTGCACCAAGCGTGGCCATTGCTTCTCGTGCCGTCTGTCATGGAGCGTGGGGGAGTCACCGGGCCCTGCACCCCCATCCACAGCCAGATGTGACTCTCAGCCAGCAAGTCGAACAGGTTTATTCATTGACAGGGACACAGCGTAGCACAGACGTGTCATGACAGGAACCAGGAGCCGTCCGTGCAATCCATCTTGGGGAGAGCAGAGCCCAGAACCAGCCCCTCCAGGCCAGCTAGGTCCCTTCTCCCTAAACCAGCCCGAAAAACTAAACTCACACCAACTCATAGCAACTAGTCTCAGCCCTCTAGGCAGTCCCGCCTACTCCTCCGTCTTGCTTCCTGGGCCCAAGGTGTTCTCTGCTGTCACCTGGTCCTCAGGAGAGGAGAGACTGACATACTTTCACAGTGAGTTGTGCCCAGCCTTCCCCTCCTCAGCCAGACAGTGTTGCAGTGCCCAGGGAAACTGAGGCACAGACACAGAGTTACTCCAGGACAGTAGAATCACATACAACACAACTAAGCAAGCAGAGTGAATACAGTCCTCGCTATCTCACATCCTCGTCCGTCCGTGGGAGTCTTTGGATCTTCTCATGGCCCTTTTCTCTTGGGCGTCAGCTTCTTCAATGTCTTCCCTTGCAGCGTTGGAGGGTTAATCTTGGATAAAACGGTGTCGGATCCAAACTTTGCAGGGATGGCCGTCTTTACGCCGGTGATTAACGGTGAGTTGGCTTCTGCTCTGCCAGCGAACCGCCCCGCAGTGCCTGGCAGAGTGGGTGAAATCTTCAAAAGCGCCCAAGTCCCTTTTTCAAAAGTGATTTAGGCGCCTCCATCAGTAGATACCATTGGGATTTTGGCTCCTAGGCTTGAGACGGTGTTAAATGAACATGTGATCTGCCTTTGGATTGATACTTCAGTAAAGATGGGCCTATGCGTTTAAGAATATTTTATCCTTTTCATGCCCCTTCCCTGTTTCTTGACCATGGGTCTGAAACTTCTGGTCCTTCAAGCTCCTTTGCTAGTAGCGCTGTGGGTCTTCTCATGCTAATGATGCTGTGACTCTCTTGGGCATGTGGCAGTGAGTTCCACAGGTTATGCGCTGTTGTAAAACAAAATCCTTAGCCATTTTAAACATACTGCAGCAGCTGGCCTGCTGGGCTTGCGTCCCACACGTTGCGCTTCAATGAGGCTCCACGATAGTGCAATTGCATCGGTGGTTGTCAAGGGAGGCAATAGGGCCCTGTGATTTCTCTCTGGTTGTTTGCGTCCTGTGGCACCGGCTCTCACTGCTCCCCCTTCGGCCTCCAGGGGTCGGTGGCAATCTGGTGGCCGTCCAGGCCAGTCGCATCTCCACGTACCTCCACATGAGCGGAATACCCGGCGAGAGCCCTGAGATGGCCCCGCGCAAGTGCCCCAGTCCTTGCAGCACTTTCTTCAGCTCAGGTATCTGTGGCGGGAACCCGGGCGCTGGGATGTTCTGAGCGGGCGCGCTTCCGGGTCACGGGCATCTTGAAACGGCTTGACGCTCCCCTGGCTCAGCTCGCATTGGGGGAGGGATAGTGCACGGCGGGGAGATGGGGGCTGGGAGGCAGACACAGGCATTGGCCTGGCCTGCTGACAGAGACTGTCGCAGTGTCCTGCTGGGTCGGTGAGGGGGAGTGTTGCAACAAAGCTGCCCGAACGGCAGGGGTGCCTTTGAGGCCCCTGGCATTGGCACGACTGATGTCATCTTCCCCACCACCCCCTCGATCGTCCCCAGGTGCATTTGGGCTGCAAGAATTTGCCTAGGCAGACACAGGCATTGGCCTGGCCTGCTGACAGAGACTGTCGCAGTGTCCTGCTGGGTCGGTGAGGGGGAGTGTTGCAACAAAGCTGCCCGAACGGCAGGGGTGCCTTTGAGGCCCCTGGCATTGGCACGACTGATGTCATCTTCCCCACCACCCCCTCGATCGTCCCCAGGTGCATTTGGGCTGCAAGAATTTGCCTCGAGGCTGCCGGCGGGCCCGCCCGGCCCCGCCCCCGGGGCCTCCGCGAG